TGAAAGGTGAATGTTTTATGAAGTAGAGTTTTTAAATCACATATGTACAGGGAAACTGCAAATAGTCTGTATACAAACTCAATCCTTTCATGACAAACTCACAAATTCCAGTCACTATGAAAGAATCGGACCTGTTTTTATTGGCATTCATCACATGAACTTATTCAATATTATTTAAGTTAATTTCGTTGTTTTTCAAAAATAAATTGAAATATCAAAATAAAACCAGCTTTAAATATACAGACCTTGACCAGCATAAATTCAACAAGTATGAAAGAAAATGCATACCTTACTTGTAAAGACACCACACAACAACATAAAATGTGACAGTAGTCAATAAAATGAGCTACAAATGAACTGAGCAAATACAAAAAGTAATACATAATATGAAAGAGATCAACAGAAGTCACTCAGACAGGTTTCTATTAGGAATCTTCAGATCATTATGTCTAAAGAAGCCTAAAATGTTAAAGGTGAAGCTTTTAAATCATTCAGCAATAGGACAGTACACCGTTACTTTAGATAATAAACTCACACAACATTTAACAGCAAACAAATTCACAGTTTACAGCTGTTATGAGTAAATACTTTTTTTATATCATTGATTCCAATTCACAACATACAAAGACTTCCCAAAAACCGGCTTGATTTTAAGGCACTTTTTTTACATGGCTGCAAAAGAAAGCTAAAAGTATTTTAGATATCACACAAAATGACTTGGATTCAGTTTTCATGTATGTAGCTAGCACCATGTTGATGGCAGTTTTAAAAACAAGGAGCCCAATTAAACACATAGGCCTATTTAAAATGTTTTGATGATGAAAACACCTTTTTGCATCTTCAAAGTCTCTGTTCAGGGCCGGCCCAAGCCTTTATGGGGCCCTAAGCAGAATTTTACATGGGGGCCCCTCAGTGCCGCCAATACGACTATTGATTATTATTGACTATTGATTATATTATGACTATACGATTATTATCAATGCTTAATTATTCTCACACCCATTATCGATTTTATTTGTTGCAGCTGTGTTGCTTACATCATACCAGTGTCTGCCTGTTATGTTTTTCTCCTTATACGATTTTAATTGTAAATTAACAGTAGCAAACACAGGTGTTAATTTGCACTTTAACATTCAAAGTCTTGCAGTACTAAGTGGCGTACTTAATGTGGTGTACTGAAAAGTAGCTAAATAAACCAGCTGACAATGCATTTACGAAACAGAATGTTATTTCAACAACATAAATTATTAAACACACATCTAAAGCAACAACTCTTAATCTATAACTAGCTAATGATATTGGAATATAGCAATACTCCAAAGGTAGGCTAAGGTAAATAATGTTAAGCTGTTATCAGCACCAGGTTTATGAAACTGAAGCTTATTTTTATTACAAAAATATATACACAGGAAAGCTATTTTTTACACTGAAGACAAAAACTTTAATCAAAAACTATAAAATATTATAATATATTATGATGTCAAGGCTATTTACGGATGTTTAATCAAACATGAACTTCCCTAAAACAAGAAGATACCCTACCTAGGCTATGCTAATTAACTATTCAGCCAGGCCCCCTCCCACCCCAGGTTCAATTTGTCCCCCCTACACCCCCGAAATGCGCAATATTAACCCTTTGACGCGCTGCGCTTTGGCTGGCGCTGTGCCAGAGAAAGACGCGCTCGGTGCTTTTCATATATCAAAACTGTTCAGTGTTTTCAACCGCTTTATTTAATTTATTTTATGATTTCAGACATTTAAATAGACATTAAATTAATTATTAGCAAAAAAAAATAAATGTATAGCTTGTTAAATACACACTGATTTCTATGGAAAGCGTCAATAATAAACCTTTCAAGTAAAAATTGACGACGTGTTTTATTCCTATCAAATACACATTGTGTAGGTAACCATAAAGTTTACTCTATTTTCTCCCAGTTCACTGGACACTTACTTTCATGTATTTCGGGAGAAATAGGCAAGGTGAATTTAGGTGTTGTAAATTCGACAGATCCACTCGACAGCATCCAGCGCGCGTTATAGATCAACTAATAAGGTTGTTTAAACGACAAAACAAATGAATTTACACATATTTGACAATCAGAATAGGCTGTATCATATGGTTCATGATGTAGGCTAGATAACAAGTTTGTGGATATTTTGAATAAAAAAGAAAAAATCTAAATAATCTGTCATACAGCACAATTGTGCCGGCATGATGCGTCGCTATTGAAATAATAAGATGAGACGTATAAATGATTTAAATATTTAATACAGCTTTTTTCCATGTACTCCTGGGGGCCCCCTGGTGGCCACGGGGGCCCTAAGTAGCCGCTTAGTTCGCTTATGCCTTGGGCCGGCTCTGTCTCTGTTACATAGTAAATCGCAAATGCTCCGCTTATTATATCAGCTGTTTGTAATACTTACCATTTTGCGTTTTTGTTTGTCTGTTTTATAATACTTCACCACTCACCTCCACACCAAGACAGACACAGTGGAAAGGGAGGGAGGGCTTCACTTCTGTGGCTCTCTGCCTGTCAGTGATGCGCATGTGCCGATCATGTGTGCTGCGCAGCACGGAGACGCGGAGAAAGTCTCAACATTTCCCGACCCAACCTGATATTTAGATTTTTTTTTTATTTGTTTGACAGGGAAAGCTGTGCACCTTGGATGCAATGTAATGTTTTTGGAGTGTGTCTAATGCATAGGTATATATGCATCTTCACCCACATTCACAAGCAATATTTATTATTATTAATCATATTCAGTTCATTTTTAGAATGACTGTGCAGGGGCATGTCTACAGGGGTTGCACAGGGTGAATTGTTTTGGTCTGTATTGTAAACTACACACATGCACACACCATACGTTCTTATCTAGTTACTTATTAGAAACATTCATATTTAAACGTTTTAAACATTTTTTTTATATTGTAGAGGAAAATGTCCATGTATCTTTAAAGGGGTAGTTCACCCAAAAATGAGAATTCTGTCATTAATTACTCACCCTCATGTCGTTCCAAACCCGTAAGACCTCTGTTCATCTTCGGAACACAATTTAAGATATTTTTGATGAAATCCGCTTTCTGACCTGCATAGACAACAACACAACAGACACGTTAAAGACCCAGAAAGGTAGTCAGGACATTGTTAAAATGATGTCAAATGGACTACTGAAGTGACACTTGAGTGATCAAGGATATTCTGATTTACAAAAATCGATTCGCTTGATTCCTCAATTCTCCTTTGATCACATTCTTGGAAGAAGGAGCTAAGTCAACAGGAAAGGAAGCAAGGCAAGTGTGTTCCATGGGTGACAAAGCTGCCTGTGGATTTAAAATGTTGGTAAATTAATGAGCAGCACATTTCAAAGCAAATTCAGAGCATTTGAATGAATCTTTAGTTATACAAAAATGTATAATATAACAAAGCACAGAAGAACCACAGATCAAACATGAATGTTATTCACTGGAATGCATCTGATGCTTGTGCAGCTCAGTTTGTGAGTCAAAGTGAAACTCTTACTGACATCTTTACAGAGTTGTGGTTTGATCTGTTTGCTGGACAAACAGTGTCTGCATTCTGCAAAAAATAAATAAATAAATAGTGATAGTGATATGCAACATCGGGTCTGCTACTACGAACAGTGTGAGAATAAGATGGGAGAATTACAACCAATGCACGCAAGAAGAGCATGTGCAATTGATGGGTGGTGGTCAAATATTATTGGTTGAGGAATCACGAGCAACACTATATCGCAGTTTAACACCGTCCTATAGTTCACAAGCTGTCTGTCACAGAAGTGTTCACATATTTAAAGTGCTGTAATCTGAAAATGGTTCACATGTTTGTTTTGTTCTGCTTGTGGCATCTGGTTGGTAAGTTATAATAATAATCATTTTAAGACATCACTTTTTTTTTAAATATTGTGTTTGTAAAGTCCTAATTTTGTTATAACAGTGTTGTTATGAACTGCTTGTTTACATTGATTAATGTTAATAGTGTGATTTTTTTGGTGAACTGTGTTAAAAACTAGACCAAAAATCCCAAATTCACCAAAAATAGTGTGACCTTTGATCTTCATTTGTGTGCAACGGAATAATTCCTGCCGCTGTTTTGACTCCATATTTTTTAAGCTCTTTGTGAGATCCCAGCTGAGAAAAATACCATTGTATATAGGCACATACAAGCGAATACAAGAATGAGTCCATTTAGACTAACACACAGCACATAGCATTGTTTTGGATTTTTGGTAAGTTCCGTCACAAAAATATAGATTAGGCCTACATACATCACATTTTTATTTATTTATTTATATTTAGATAAGATGTTATAATGCCAACATGAACTCTTAGTGAAAAAAACTCGAAACCGAACTACAAGTTTGCACACACCCTAAATTTGTGAATCTGTTTTGTTAGATATGTTTGGTGATACAGATGCAGTGGAGTCAGTGTCAGTGCTGGAGTGAGATTCAGTCACTCTAAACTCTGGTTTTACTGAAATGATGGATGATGATCTGATTCGGTGGAGGTTTGGATCTGAAAACACTTTAATAGCTCAAATCAATGTAATGGTCAGCAGCATGACTGTATATGATGATGTTCTTGATGAGAGATTCAGAGACAGACTGAAGCTGGATCATCAAACTGGATCTCTGATCATCACAAACACCAGAACTGAACACACTGGACTCTATCAACTACAGATCAACAGTGTGAGCAAGAGTTTCAGTCTCACTGTCTATGGTGAGTTAAATATTGGTTTCACCTTTTTATTTACCTGTAAATTAAAGGTAATTTATATTACATTTATTTTGATTATTGATTAAAATAAAAACAAAATCATTTCAACTAACCATCATTCCTCTTTTTCTTTGCTACTTATCCATATGTATAATAATTTTTTTATAATTGCGGAGAGAGGAATGAAGATTGTTGACACTGACTGACTGAAGCTGCAATAAACACTTTCTGATCTAGTCTTATTTTATGTTTTAAGCTCATCTTCCTTTTCCTGATATTATCAGAGACTGTTCTTCATCATCATCTTCATCATCATCATCATCACAGCAGAATTGTTCATTGGTGTGTTCAGTGGTGAATGTGGGTCATGTGACTCTCTCCTGGTACAAAGGAAACAGTTTATTGTCCAGCATCAGTGTGTCTGATCTCAGCATCAGTCTCTCTCTACCTCTGGAGGTGGAATATCAGGATAACAACACCTACAGCTGTGTGCTCAACAATCCCATCAGCAACCAGACCACACATCTGGACATCACTCAGCACTGTCAGCCATGTTCAGGTACAGCAGCACTGATATTAACATTTATTGACTGAGCTGATCTCAGTTTGATGTTTTTATTCCTCAGACTCTGTCCACTGTTGTGGTTTTTCTGAAACCGTGATCCGATTGGTCCTCTCTGCTCTGGTGGGTGTGGCTGCAGCGGCTGTTCTGGTTTATGACATCAGGTCCACAAGAGAATGAAGGATCTGAGAATCCTCAAATGCAAACTGTGTGTTTTGCTTTACATTTGTTTTTTACTTTTGTTTAATATTCATTTATTCATTCATTTATAATGATTTATCATTTAATAATTGTATTATTCAATTTAATCATATAATAATTTATAATAATCATTATAGTCATTTATATACCCATTTCATTGATTCATTTATTGATTAGTAATTTGTATTATATTATATTGTTGTTTAGTCTTATGACTGTGTGGTTTCAAGGGCTGTTTGTCTTCATGAATAAGAGATACGAGGAATGTTTATAGAAACTCAAGGTTTATTGGATGTTATTTTGAAACAAGTTTTAAGTTTTGGTAGAACAATACTTGTTGGATTTGTGCTGGTCAGACGACATCTGAGTATTAAAACATACACAACTATTCAATAAACTCTGCTTCTTTTTATCATCATCACTTCATCTCCTGCTTCTGCTCTTCATTGGGTTTTTCCTCAGCTTCTTGGCTGATAGAAGACTGTTAATAGACTTGCTGTTAACAGGTTTTAGGTATTAGACTACTTTGCTGATGAGTTGTTCTGTTACCACACAAAACATGTGGGAATATTTTCTGACAGGATCTGGCATCTGGGGCTGGATCTTAATTATCTGGCGTGGAGGCATGATTTAAAAGTATGGATACATATGCAATGGAATCGTTTTACTAAATTTCCAAAGATGTTAAATACCTGTTTTTTGCATTACCATTATGGTGTATGGAGTGTAGATTGATGTGGAAACAAAGTCATTTAAAGCAATTTAACATAAGGCAGCAACATAACAAAATGTGAAAAAGATTCCCTGATAACATTTTTTTTGTTGCTTCAGACTACTGCTGTGATTCTGAATTGTTGCACTGAAACTGTCCATTGTACTATATTGCCTCATAATGAACTTTTCACTATTTGATGTTTGAATAAACTGTTTTGTGCTGTAAACGTGTTTATATTTAACCACCATTCAAATTTATTCTCACACCCTTGCAGTTATAATATAAGCCTATGCAGCTATGGTTAATAGATGTATATAGTTCAGTCGGTAAATATTCAGTTTTCAGTTCAATTCTGTGGTGATTTATTGGTGTGACAAATATTAGATTTGTGTTTTCATGGTTGCTACGTACAATTATAAAACTAAATTAAAATAGCCACATAACATAAATGAATGAAAAACTGAAAACAATGTAATTAATGTAAAATGCATAGTATTAAAGACAAAAAAATAAATAAATAAACATTAAAGAATATTGTTTTGGCCACTAGATGCTCTCAATACACCAGATTTGGAAACCTTTTCAAATCGAGTTCAGAGGAAAGCATTTGTAAGCATTATTTTCACCATCACAAAACAATTAGACAACACATAATTTACATAAATCTTTACAGTTAAAACTCCAATATATATCAGAATATGTATTTCTATATCTGTTCTGTTTTCTTTTAACCTCTAGCAGATCTGATGTCATTGACCAGAAGAACAGCAGCAGCTGCAGCAGCCACGCCCATCAGAGCAGTGACGACCAATCGGATCGCAGCTTCAACTGTATCACAACAGTGGATGTGGACGTCTGTAAGTAAATAAATAATTTAATAAATCGTCATTTTCGATAAGATGACTTTAGTCTCTATAGATTAACTTAAAATCTGAATTTTTTTTCTGAAGTGTAAAAAAAAAAAGTTATCTGCACAATATAGCCTGTTTAGAAATACATGAGTGAGCTAAATGATGACACAAGTTCATTCATCATTTCTGGCATCTTGAGTTATCAGTTTCAGTAAAATCAACTAATAAATTCAGTGAACAGAATAGATGCAATAGATGCTCTTATCAGTGCTGCTGTACCTGAACATGTGTGACAGAGTTGACTGATGTCCAGATGTTGAGTCTGGTTGCTGATGGGATTGTTGAGGACACAGCTGTAGGTGTTTTTCTCCTGATATTCCACCTCCAGAGGTAGAGAGAGACTGATGCTGAGATCAGACACACTGATGCTGGACAATAAACTGTTTCCTTTGTACCAGGAGAGAGTCACATGACCCACATTCACCACTGAACACACCAATGAACAATTCTGCTGTGATGATGATGAAGAACAGTGTGTAGATTTAATGCTGATGACAGGAACAGACAGACGAGCTGAAAACATGAGCGAACAAGTCTGGATAAATCTAATCAATAGTCCTATTTTTTCATTTGATGTGTTTAAAATGGTTTTGTGTTCACAGTGAGTGTGTGTGTGTGTGTGTGTGTGTGTGTGTGTCATCTTAAACAATAAATTTATTTTTAAATTCAGTAAGTAAAAAATACAAAATAATGTAAACAGTATAATTTTAACACTGACAAACTTGGCACTAAGTTCAGTCAGGTTTTTTTCAAATATGTGGAATCATTGGCGTTTTAGTGCACATGTAAATATGTGATATTGTGGTTTTTGTCCTTGTGTGTGTTTTTGTATGTTGTTATTGTTGTGTCTTTGTTTGGACCGAGTGTGTCCTTAATAAAGTTTGATACAAAAAATGTATAAGGACATAAAAACTATCTCTACTGACCATAGACAGAAACATTGGATGTTTGTGATGACAGTATTGCTCCACGTATCTGTAGTTTATAGAGTCCAGCGTGTTCAGATGTGATGTCTGTGATGGTCAGAGATCCAGTTTGATCGTCCAGCTTCAGTCTGTCTCTGAATCTCCCATCAGGAACATCAGATGTGTTGAAGATTCCAGCAGCTCTGTTGATTTTAGCTATCGGAGAGTTTTCAGCTCCAAAGGTCCACAGTATATCGTCGTCTTCATGTATTTCAGTAAGATCAGTGTGTAAAGTAACAGAATCTCCCTCCATCACTGACACCGACTCACCAAACACACCTGCTGAACAAACAGATTTTACACAGATTAAGCTTCCTGTTGTTTAGTTTGTAAAATGTGTATTAAAGAACAGCAGCAGACAGCCACTAATTTCATTGTTGTGGTGTTTTATCAGCTGTTGAGTAAAATACAAGAGTGAAGTTACACAAGTTCAAGCATGAAAGTACAAGCTTACTAATGCTGCTCACATTCAATACATTTCTTTTATGAATGGGATATTTTTTATATATGAGATATCCAGCTCACAGTATCTCACTCATAATTTTACTGCTTTTTGACCAATGAGTTAACATGACTTTTACAGTTGTTCATTATTACTGCGGCAAATATATATATATAATTTTTTTTTAGATGGCTGGGGAACATCACGTTCAACAATCAGTTAAATTTAATATTGAACACCCCTCCCCCCAAAAAAACGTTTTAATGTTTTAAAGTGATTTCTGTGCCTCTATTATACTTAATTTTAAAATGCTCATTACTTTTCAATTAAATTTAATATGTTAAAAATTATTTCTGGTGCACCCAAATCGAAAACACAAATAGATACCTGAATCCTAAGTGGATGAAAATACTTTAATTTCAACAGTAGCATTAGCTTATTACACTGAAGCGGAATGAAGCTATAAAATGCTTTCATAACTTACCAGTCAGAGGCCAGAAGCACAAACAGAACAAAACAAATGTGTGAATCATTTTCTTTAAGTGTCTGAATTAGTAATACTGTCCACCAAAAAACATTCTGACTGCTAATCTAATGTCTGAATCCTCCCCCGAAAGAATAAGACCCTCCTTTAGTTCACTCACACACACACTCACTAAACAGTGTGTAGTTATGTAAAATATATAATGTATAATGGTTACATTTTTAACATTACATAAACATTTTTCTGGCCCCTATTAAGAATTTAACTTAATGGTAGGGGAATCTTTTTGATTGCCAAAAAGAATCAAACCCTGGTAAAATAAATAAATATTATTTTTGTATGCAGTTCTTTGAAAGCATGTATGTTTTTTGAATGCAAATCAACATGCAACGAAACTTCGTCATCGCGCTAGCTATAGGCTATAGTGAGGACCGAATGCTTAGCTTCACTTTCATTTATAATGCTATACTTTGTATTATATCACATCTGCATCATGTTGCAAATAATAATAATAATAATAAAAACAGTTAACGCTAATGCAAGGGTGTTTCGAATGCAGCGTCTATGGGAGGGACGGTAAATTTGACATTGTTCTCTCTTCTGACTGCCACTATCAGTCTCACTCATTTTTTATTATATTTTTTTCTTTGATTGAAAGTCCTGAAAACACTATCGTGGAGTTTTTCTTTTGCTATTTGAGCAAATGGGAATGCAAAAAATAGATATATTTGTGGTACTCTCCCATTCACTGCTCTGGAAGTTTACCCAACTATGACGACTTCCGCTGCTGGGAAACCTGGAAATGTGGAAAAGGTCTATAGAGTGGTGGAACTATGACGTCACTTTGTAGGCAAAAACCTGGAAGCGAGTTAGCATTTTAGCACTTCCGGTTCCAGCATCCCAGAGTCAATGGGGTTTTTTGAATGAGAGTTTGGTTAAATTCCCTAAAATAAGGTCTGTGGTTAACACAATCTCAAGATACTTTCATGTTTTATTTTAAACTGTTACGTTACTTGAAAAGGTGGTTGCTAACAAGTTGATAAATGGGACTACAGGCATTGTCGGAGACATTAAATGCCATCACGCCAAACAGTTTATAAATTTATAGTATTTTCCAATTGTAGTATAATTTGTAGTGCAATTAATTGAAGAATAACCAATTAATACTTTCCCACATTTTATATTGCTGCTCAACAATCCCCCCTCCCCCCCTGCTTTGTACCGAAATGCAACCACAAGTGTTTGGATGGAAGATGATCGTTTTATCGCTTTCCCTTGGATGTAACCAAGTGGAGACTCTGGGTTAATACCATAAGGTAAATAGTCTAGCAGGAAGAGTATGTTTCCTACAAGTTATTTTGTAACCTGTTTTTTAGGACCCTAATGGTGTCTAGTTAAGAAGTTTTGATGTTGTCAACTAATGTCCCATGGGGTTCGTTTGGCGGCCATCTTGAAATGATGTCATTGCGAGTGGCAAAAAACACAGATTTTCATAAACCCTGAACCATGCAACATACAAAGACAAATGAACCCCCTTTTCATATAATTCTGACACCAGGAATCAATTGGAAAGGTCGATGACATGATACAACCACACTTTATTGGTGAAAAACAGGCAAATAACATATTTTAGGCTCATAACGATGTAACTTTTGCTATATGGTTCTGCCATAGTTTCCTGCATTAGCCATATGATAATAGCTTTTCTCTTATATCCATTTCAAGGTTGTTAAACGGATAGCAATCACTCCAAGAGACATAGGCGGCAATCTGATAGTACTAGCTAAATGAAAGCAAAAGTCATCAAAGCCCCGTTTCACCGATCAGTCTCTACCTCTTTAAACGTGACCCTGCTGGTGTTTTTTTATTTTTCTCAATATCTTTGCAATGAAATTATAATCGAAACAAACCAGTACGTTGGAAAATCTAAAATATAACCCAGAAAAAAAATTACACAAATCAAAGTACAAACTGGCATGAACAGCAGCTCAACGCTGCTACTTTTTTTAACTCCTCGTTTGCCATCGTAGCTACTCATTGTTTGCTTTTGACTGCTACTTACACTATTTAAATATCAGTCGACACCACTCAGCAAGATACAGCAATAAGATTTTACATCTGATATGTAAGTATTATCTCCCTTTTTTACAACTGGAAATATGTCACTAGTACATTGATAAAATGGATATATAAATAATATATAGTATTGTCAAATTAACTTGCTAGATGGTGTAAGAAACTAGTCTGCCCAGCCCAGATTTCATTCCACAACAGCTGTTTGATCATGCTCATTTCCCAAAATGGCTTAATTATTATAGATGAAGATGTAGTTTCTAGATTATTTGGGATGATCACATCCTGAGCAAATGGTGACCAACTGTAGAATGGGAGCGGGTGTGGGACACCAAGGACCATCTCAGACAATTAGGTGTAGGAACTTAATTATCATACTCGTTTGCCTGTTCCTGTCATCAGCAGTAACTCTTCACTGTTCTTCATCATCATCATCATCATCACAGCAGAATTGTTCACTGGTGTGTTCAGTGGTGAATGTGGGTCATGTGACTCTCTCCTGGTACAAAGGAAACAGTTTATTGTCCAGCATTAGTGTGTCTGATCTCAGCATCAGTCTCTCTCTACCTCTGGAGGTGGAATATCAGGATAACAACACCTACAGCTGTGTGCTCAACAATCCCATCAGCAACCAGACCACACATCTGGACATCAGCAAACTCAATGATCAACATGAGCCACTGCTGCATCTTTGAAACAGTTCAGACGCATGATGAAGAGATCCTTTATGCTGATCCAACATGGCTGATTCATTTATTTTTGTTGACGATCTCTGTATGATTTCAGCAGTCACATTTTTAGGCGCATGTGCGCTTGTATGTACAGACAAAAACAAACAAACAAACCAAAAAACATGTTCGAAACATAATTTCAAGATGTTTAGAAAAGCCATTAAGATGAGCATTCAATGTGAGAAACATTGACTTATATCCCATGATATTCATGACACTCACTATAGTAACTGAAGAGAGTCACAAAACAACAAAGTCCATTTTAAGGTGATTAGTTCATATTTCCAATGATCAACATGAGCCACTGATGCAGTATTTTCTGTGTCAGCTGATGACATAATTGTCCAAA